GAACTCTGATGTCTTTTTCTACGGAGAAAGACTAAACCGGCAGCACGTGTTAGGCGCAGGCTTATCCTTGCTTAGGATTCGGGATAAACTTCCTAGGATGAATCCTAGATTGATAAATTCTTGGAAAAGGTTGGTGTGGGAAAGGAAGAATTTTATATTCTATTTCCCGGTCTTCTATTAGGGTGAAGGCGAACCCGAATACAAGGAAGGAAGAATTTTATATTCTATTCCTTGATTCTGGAAAGGAATAATTTTATATTCTATTTCCAGCGCAAAAGAAACTAGAAGTGGGATCTCCACTCCGAGAATCGGACAGATTCGGATATCCTAATTGTCGGAAGGTTGGATTACCGAATTAAAGGTAAATTTCTCGTTTATCGAGAGTGAATTGTGGTTTTGGCCCTAACTGTAGGAAGGTTTGACCAAGCGGGAGTTTGAGGTGATCCTAACTATAGGAAGGTTTGATCACCCGATTTGAAAGTGGACCTCTCGTTCATTGGAGGAATCGAGAGGGGATTTTGGTTTTGGTCCTAACTGTAGGAAGGTTTGACCGAATGAGAGGTTTAAGACGATCCTAACTTTAGGAAGGTTTGATCGCTCAATTTATGGGCCTCTCGTTCATTGAAGGAATCGAGAGAGGATTTTGGTTGTGGCCCTAACTTTATAGGTTTGACCTGAAAGCAAAGGGAGTGGAATACAAGTAGCAGTAGAAATACTGGTTTGTACTGGCCACTCGATGAAGGGTTTTGACGTTAAGTAATCAGGACTTAACACGTCAAGCTTTGGAAATTGTCATGAATTGGCGGACAGAAAATTTAGTGGACCCACCGTCAATTGACTTGATCAGTGGGGGATTTTTTGTGAGGAAAGATTAATCTGTCAAAAGGATCGAATCTCGTCTCAACAAGATAACTCATGAGAATCAGTGAATTTGATAACAATAATGGAAAACATTCCGATATTTAGAGTTTAAATGTGGATGTTTTACTTATCACTTTTATAGTGATTGGGTTATCCCTAAGAATATCACCCGTGGGGTTATCCCTAAGAATATCACCCGTGGTATTCTTTCGGAAACTTCCCGATACATGAATAATCCACCCCCAGCTTCCCTTGTGGAACTGGGTCCGACATTGTACTCAGTTACATGACCGGGTTATCCTTAAGAATATTACATATAAAAATTCTTCAGGAACTTCCCGTTAAAGAAATAAAACAGTTTAGACTCATATACATGTTGGAGTATCAGGGAGCAGTTTAACCTCTTATACTGGTCGGAGGATTGAGAAGCAGTTTATACTCTTATACTCTTCGGAGTGTGGCGTTCTCATTTGGCTTATCTCAGCGTTATGACGCCGGCTTCAATCAAGGTTTGGATGCTATTCTTGAGAGCGAAGCAATCCTTGGTGGGATGAAGGACCCTCCTGTGGTACGCACAGTACTTCGGATCCGTAGTATTGTTAGCTTCCTCCTGATTTGTGATAGGTGGTAGCTTGATCTTGTTATTTTCAAGGAGGGATTCGAAGATGGCTGGAACGTCTTCGTCCTTGAAGGAATACTCTTTTTGGAGTCTCGGGTCCGAAGTCTTTTGCTGCCTTCGGGATTGCTGTTGTGACATTTGATTAGCACCACCAGTAGCTGCAGGTGCTTTGTCTTTCCCACGGGAGGTGAAGTTTGAGTCCGGAAGATTCGCCGTTGGTTAGCTCCTCTCGGCTTTCTTCCTTCGGAGGAATCACTCGGCTTGCTCTCCTCGGACCTTCAAATCCTTCCATGTTTTGGATGGAGCTGTCCCCATTGCTTCCAACACGTCCAATGCGAGGTTGTTGTGGCAAGTCTGGAGAATGAACTCCTCAGTGATCGGGTCCCGACAGTTCATCGCCTTGTTCCGGAACTTTTTGACGAAGGTATCAACCAATTCCCCGCCTTTTTGTTTCTCGTCAAGCAACGACCCGATGGATATCTCGGTGTCGTCATCGAAGAAGTTAGTGAGGAACTTAGTCTCCATGTCGTCCCAGCTATTCACACTTCCTGGCGTGAGGCGGCGATACCAATCGAAGGCGGCTCCACGAAGAGTGCCAACGAAGGACCGTACCATCAGAGGCTCATTACCAGAGATAACCCCACCGTCATAAAGTCTACACCAATTATGGAAATCAAACAATTACTGAACCCATATTACCCCAACCAAACCCTCATCTATAATTTTTATTACATTATTTGTCCAAATCGAACCTTCTATAAAATAAATAAGGATTTTACCTATAAACGCTCTAAATCTATCTTACTTACAAATTCACCCCCAAACTAGTTTTTATTTTTGCTATTTTACCATTGCGTTCTTTGACAATGAATAAGCTACCTCTCAATACCATCAAATTTCAAACAAAGAAATGATAAAACAACAAAAACACCCTTCTCACCTTAAGAAAAAGAAAGGTTGTTTGCGGGTAATCCCAAATTTGTCGTGTTAGCAAGTTTATCCTCTGAGTTAGCATACTTGCTAATTTATCCAATGAATTTAGCCTTGTTAATGGAGTATCAAAGTCTAGCTATGCAGAATATATGTATAGATAAATTAGCAAATATGTAGATTTGAGTAAAAAAAAATTATGCAAATAAAATAGATTTGGGGTAGGGAAAATTTGCAAAATAGACCGTTTTTATAAAGTAATTAGCGAAATAGACCGTTTTTAAAAGTAATTAGCAAAATAGACCGTTTTTTGGCAAAAGAGGTCGATTTTGAAAAAGGGTTCAGAAAACATACGGGACTACTAGTCCCGTATGTTTTGTTAACAAACAGAAAATATACGGGACTAGTAGTCACTAGTCCCGTATATTTTCTGAGTGAGATTAAACATACGGGACTAGTAGTCCCGTATGTTTTCTGAACCCTTTTTCAAAATCGACCTTTTTTGCCAAAAAACGGTCTATTTTGCTAATTACTTTTAAAAACGGTCTATTTCGCTAATTATTTTATAAAAACGGTCTATTTTGCAAATTTTCCCTTTGGGGGTATCAAAGCGGAAATACCAAAAGATAAACACTCCAAGCAAGGACCCACCATTAAGAAACCGACGGAAGAAAAGAGTAATTATTCATAGAATTTACTCCCCAACGGTCTAATTTTTCTCCTCTGTCGTCTCTTTGATGCCTTCAACCTCGTGCCCTCCGCGTGCAGAGAGAAGGTCATCAGGTCTTCTCTTTGAAATCTTCAAGGTACCACCACTTATTTATTAATCTCTTTTGATTGTCTATTATTCACACCAACTGAGTGCTACCCATCAAGGTAATTTTCGTTCCTTAATCGAAATTTTAATTCCAAATTGGATCTTGATGGGTTTTGTGTACTTTGGGCAATTTCGGGAAGTTCTATTGTGATCAGTTTCCAACTGTTTTTTTTTATTTTTGGTTCTTGAAGCGACCCATATTGTAGCCTTTGGTCCTTATTCGATTTCGCAGTTCAAATTTGGATTTTGATGGGGTTTTGTCGACAGGGGTCTGTTCTCGATTAACTTTGCGCTGTAGAAAAGGGGAAGATCAATTTGTTGGTTTTTGCTTGGAGCAATACCTTTCTTGAAATTGTAGGTGCCCTGTAAAGATGTGGGGCTTTTGTAGCTTGTTTATTAATATTTCTTTGGTGGGATTCCTCTTGGTTCTTGAAAGTTATGTAAGATGATTTCGCTGCTTAATTTCGAGGCTTTTTGGTGCCTTATTCTTAGTTGCTTGTTAGTTTCTGGTAGCATTTGATTATGAGTCTTTAGGTAAAGGAATGGGAATATAAGGCTCATATCTTTGCTTGTTTTGTTCCTACTTTCGTATAGTTAAGTTATTTATTTATTTATTTATTGAAATCATTTTCTTCACTATTCATACTATCTAGTTTCTTATATTCAAAATCTAGGACGCCTGAGATTTTTCAGGGTCTCTCATCGCGTCATCTAGTTTTGTATTTTGTGATATTTATATATATTTTTTGGTAACAATCCTCGAATCGAGGCTTGCTGTTGTATCTTTGATTTTGTATTCTCCGGTTATGTCATCCGCATTGGTACTTGTATACCCGTCTAAAATTTGAAGACAATATATATATCTTTCGGTGATTTCACGATCTGTTAACCTGATTACTCTAAAGCCTGGTTCCTTAACAATTTCGAGTTTATATTATGATTTCTGCTTCTTTTACTAGAAACAATTTCGTTTCAGTCTTCACAAAATTCTATCAACTTAGTTTGTTTACTTGGTACAGTTATGATTTTTGTTATGGTTCATGCCATTCTTTCTTCTGCTGGTCTCAATTTTATGGCCTATAATCATATAAAGGGCCATTCTCATTTGCCAATTTGTTTTATTTTGCATAAGTTTTATGTACTCATAGTGGAATTTAACCTTAAATACAAACAAGTTTTTATTTAACAATATCTGGTTAATTATTAGGTACTGTTGCTACACTACATTTCAGAATTCTGCAGCAGTTTTAGCATCTCGATCAATATACCAAGCCTCTTCCTGCAACTGACATGTCCAAAATGACTACAACAAGAACTCCTCAATCTAAAGTTTATAAGCAGCAATCTGGCCCCTCTGGGTTTAACCCATTTGACTCAGATTCAGAATCCGAGCATAATTCTAAACCTGCAAGGGCTTCTTCTGCCCCTGCTCCAATCAATGCAAATCACAGAATCTCTAGGAAGATCAGAATGATTTCCCGGCATTTCTGGTTTGGAGAATCAGTTTGGTGCAAGAATTGGAAGGTAGTGCTGTGTACCAAAGCTGAGGAGACACTCATAGAGGTAAATGAACTGTTTGAAAAGATTGCCTGAAGACGATGAGAGAGCGATGCTTTCTAGGACTCTATGCTTAACCTGACACAGCAGGGAGAGCAGAATACAAAGGACACATCTCAACGGCTGCTAACATTGAATGACGCTGAGTAGGTAAGAACCCCCCCCCCCCCACGTGCACGCGCAACTATTTGATAATGTAATCATAGTTTAAGGCATGGAATTACGTCTTTAGTACCTTTCTACCTGCATTTTAAGAAACTTGGATGTCAGGTGACCAGGTCTCAGGAGTTTTTGACATGGAAAGCTGCAAAAGGGTACTAATGAGGGCACAATTATACTGATAAATGAGTTCACATGTGTACATGATTGCATCTAAGAATAATTAGCTTCATTGTTGCATCAACATTTTGTAGGAAAAATTATAGATTTTAGATAAACTAATACAGAACTGTTTCAAATGGTGATATCACTCTATTACGAAAGCTTGATATGTCTACTTCTGGCTACAATATATAAACAGTTACCATTATTATTGTGCTTGTTAGCCTTTAGAGGCTGTAGTTTTCACGACCACAATCTACAATGACAGGGTTCTATTGGAAAACTGAACATATGCACTTCTTCGCCAAGAAAGCTTGTTCAATCCTTCTGTTTTTCCTTTTGCACTCCATAATTATCGAAATAAGTAATCTCAATCTTCTTTTCTTCTTATAAACTGACTAACAAAGTTTAAGTGACATAATTACGGAATTCTGATTGTAAAACTTGGAGATGGGAATTAGGCGCTGCTTTCTTTATTAGTGGTTAGCTTTTCGTAATCACGTGAGGATATTACCCATTCGAGCAATTCTATAACATAAGTCATTAAGATTGCTATTTTATAGTTATGGAATTGAACCATGACCTCTAAGACTTGATTCATTTTTTATTGAAATATTGAGAGTTGAATGAGATTCTGTAACAGACGGATACAAGATATCTGTCAGCTACTAACTATTATTACTTTGACTTCTGGCTTCAGCTTTAATAGCTTATTGGATCCCTTTTGTCATTCTTATTTAGGATAATCTATTTTTAATTGCAAGTTTTTTCTTCTCTGTCTTGAAAAGTTTTGTCCAGAGCTATCTATGGTCTTTTCTCTTTTCAGAGCTCTCACTGAGATTAAACATATCAGTATAAATTATCAATCTTTTTTGTTTGTGTTACAGACATAATTCCATGTCCATTGCTTTACTTGAAACACGCTATGTTTTTGATACATGATATTTAGGTTTAGCCGGATCAAACACAGAACTATTCTAGACTGAATCGATATAAATCTTATAAAAGCACTATATATAATTTTTCTTGATGTATGCATGTGTAATTCAGGGGGAGAAGCTTTTGGGAAGCCTTGGCGGTCTCTTTTCAAAGACATGGAAACCCAAGAAAACTCGAACTATAAAAGGGCCTATTTTAACCAGCGGTAAATTGCCCAAAACAATCTGACAAACCAACATAAACTTATCAAGTGATTTTTCTCTGATTTGGGCTTTTACACAGATGACTCTTACTTAAAGAGGAGAAGCCACGCAGAGCAGAGACAAAGATTAGGTTTATCTTCAAGTCCTACAAACTCAATATCAAATCCTCAGCAGTATCCTTCTGAACCTGCATCTGCTGCACTAGAGAAAGTTCAGGTTGTTCTTTTATAAAAACTTTATGCTAGTATGAAGTATGATTTTTGATCCATTCTATCAAATATTTATTGCACACATCGCTTTTTAACAATATAGGTAGAAAAGGCAAAGCAAGACAATGCGTTATCTGATCTGAGCAATCTATTGGGTGAACTGAAAAATATGGCTGTAGATATGGGTTCCGAGATTGAGAGGTCAGTTTCCCTTTTACCATCAATGCTGATTTGTTTACTGTGTCGTTACTTTTTGATGGCAAACTTCACAAAACCCCCTGAACTTTATAATCATAGAAAGACACATGAACTTATCCCACTTAAGTATTCCATGAACGCACGTGCATGTGACAACTTTTGGGGAATTTTACCCCTATCTACTAACTGTAACTTACATACTGCGTTCTTTTGATATATAATTTTGAAAGTTAAATGGGTTTTGTGAAATTTACACTTTTTTGTTGTTATTTTGATTATTTGAAAGGTTCTTTGTGTCTACAAGAATGCCTGACATTATAGAAGTCTAAGCAGAAATTATACATTTGTTGACAAGAACATAGAGCAGTATCTGAAATGGTAGCATGCGACTATGTACAATATAAATATAAATGGCATGAGCTTCAGCAAAGACCAGACTATTTAGTTTCAGAAGTATGTATACAGCATATAATGGCAAGAGTTTTGAGGGTAAATACATTCAGGTAGAGAAGAAGAAATTATGATCGAATACACTAATTTATCAGATATTATCTACTGAATTTACGTAAAAAAAAAGAAACACAAGAAGTAGTAGTATGTGCAATATATATAAATGGCATGAACTTCAAAGAAAAGTGGAGTTCAAACCTGCCCAGTTTATTTCCTCTTGATTGCCCTCAAATATCCAGTGTGATGAAGTTATATTATTACTTTAAGAAGAATGTTGCATGTCTATGCTGCTCGTCTTTTTAATACCCCTTATCATCATATCATTTATTTTCATGTCATTTCAGGCAGAACAAGGCTCTGGATCATTTGGATGATGATGTTGGAGAGTTAAATTTTAGAATGAGAGGAGCAAACATCAGGGGACTTCGTCTTCTTGGAAAATAGACCGCCCAACATTGTTAAGATTTTTTCTTCTTTTTATTCTTAAATGGGTTCATATGTTTCAAATTTCATATCACTTAGCTATATTGAATAATCTCACCTGGTGTTTTGAAATTTGAAATATAATGTATTGAAGTGGGGAAGTCTGTTGTATTCTTAGACGACATACTTCAAGGTGTTAATGTCACATATTTGAATAAGTTCCATGAAATATATGAGGGAAGTCTGGAGCTTTCCTATGTTTTTGATATTCAACCAGCAAAGCTATGACCAAGTTTGATGAGAAACTGTTGGATTGTTAGATTCATGAATTACTGCAAATCAAACAGCTGCAAGAATATCTATGCAACCTGTGCTGCCAAAAAGAAGGGTAACTGTTACATATCTACCCAGTGGCTAAAATATACAAGAGTCCTTTATAACATGCAATGAAAACAGCTCCACATGAATTAAAATTCTATTTAAAAGAGGATTTAGAGGATCTAGTTGTAATAGGAATAGGTTTGGAGGACCTGAAAATAAAATTCCTTTATAAAAGAATTCTATTTATGAGAAACCTGTATTTTTTTGTGCTACGGTAAACTGTGAACAGTAAACCGAGAGAGAAAAAATGCGGAGAGAAAAAATGTGGAGAGAGAAAACGTGAGATTCTGGATAGTTCGGTTGTCCGATTGTAGTGATTCAAAAGTTGTTGTTTTTAGAACGACGACGTTGTTAGTACGGTGTTGGTTTCTCCGCGGGTGTTGGAGATTTTTGGTGAGACGGCTTTTAGGGTTTTGGTGCCCTATAGATAATATTGTATCTTTCTATTGTGATTTAATTCTCAAGTTCATGTAAAACTTAGAGTGATTGTACTCTTGATTCATAGTAAAATATTTCTTTCTGGATTGCTTCATGAACGTAGGCACGATTTGTCAAACCACGTTAAATCTTGATGTTTATTTGCTTGTGGTATTTTTATTGGTGTCTTTTATTCGTTTAGTGTTTAATTCTACAGATCAATCTCCATAAAATCCTTATCAAGTGCTATCAGAGTCCTGGTTCGAGTCATGTTTTGGGATGGAAAAGATGAAGAGTTTGGCACAATGATGAAATTGGATGGTTCCAATTGGCAAGTATGGAAGTCCAAGATGAAACATATTCTGTATTGTAAAGATTTACATGACCCTATTGAGGGAGATGAAGCCAAGCGAGAAAAGATGGCTGATAAAAATAGGAGAAACAACATAGAAACGCGATCGGTTATATTCAAATATGGATCGACGTTAGTGTGTTTTATCATGCATCGGGTGAGACTAATGTGAAGTCTCTTTGGAAGAAGCTTGAGGATCTCTACGAATAGAAGATCATGGGAAACAAGGCGTTTATTATGAGACGGTTGGTGAACTTAAAATTTAAAGAAGGAAGCAACATAGCAGGGCACTCGAATGAGTTCAAGAGTTTGATTAATCAGTTAGCTACCATGAAGATGACTATTGATGATGAGCTACAGGCTTTATTGCTATTTGGTTCTTTGCCAAACAGTTGGGAGACACTGGTTGTGACAGTCAGTAATACAGTTCCAGATGGTGTGTTATCGATGAATATGATTTTATGTAGTTTTAATTAGGAGACTCGGAGGAAGTCTACCAGCACAGATAACTCACAGGCATTTGTCATGGAGAACAGGACAGGAGCAGGTATAGGGACCAGTCCAGAGGTCGTGATACATCTAATGGTAGATCAAAGTCTAAAAGGAGAGGTTGTTTTTATTGTGGGAAGTCATGTCATATCAAGAATAATTGTTGGGTATTGAAGAAAAAGCAAGCTAGGAACAAAGATGAAAAGAAAGATGAGAAGAAGAAAGTTGACAGTGACACTACAGCTACTTTGTCTGATATTGATGTTATTCTTATTTGCAGGGAAGAAGACTGTATGCATGTTACAAGTCAAAATTCCATGTGGATAGTGAATACGTAAGCTACATGTCATGCTACCTCCAATCGAAACCTTTTCACATTGTATAAAGCAGGTGACTTTGGCAATGTGAAGATGGGCAATACCAGCTACTCGAAAATTATGAAACTTGGTGATATACACTTACAGACAGATACCGGATACACATTGATCTTAAAGAATGTGCGGCATGTTCTCAATTTGCGGCTCAACTTGATTTTTGATCGTACTTTGGACCGAATGGGATATGAAATTTAATTTGGTGAAGAAAAATATAAAATTACCAAAGACTCTCTTGTGGTGGCTAGAGGAAGTATATGTTGCAATTTATATAAGACTCATGCAAACACTTCATATAATTCTTTGAGCGTGGTTCAAGGCGGTGACACTCAGTTTGTGACATAGGAGGCTCAGACACATGAGCGAGAAAGGGTTGCATATATTAGCAAAGAAGTCTCTCATTCCCTTTGCCAAAAGTTCATCATTCACCCCTTGTGATTATTGTTTGTTTGGAAAATAACATAGAGTTTCTTTTAGTAAGCCTTCTAAAAGAAAAGATAATATCCTGAATTTGATTTATTCTGATGTTTGTGGTCCTATTGAGGTGGAGTCCTTGGATGGCAATAAGTATTTAGTCACATTTATTGATGATGTATCGCGGGGGATGTGGGTCTTCTTATTGAGGATAAATAATCAGGTATTTTCAGTCTTCCAGCAGTTTCATGCTATGGTAGAGAGACAGACAGGAAATAAGTTGAAGTGTTTGCACACCGATAATGGAAGAGAGTACACTTCCATTGAGTTTAGAGATTATTACTCCAAGCATGGTATTCAGCATTAGAGAATAGAGCCTGATACACTGCAACATAACAAAGTTACAGAGAGGAAGTCAGATGCATGTTGAAGATGACAAAGTTACCTAAGAGCTTCTGGACTAAAGCTGTTCGCACTGTATGCTACATAATCAACAAGTCTCCTTCAGCTCCTTTGGGTTTTGATATTCCAGCGAGAGTTTGATCCGGAAAAGATATTTTTTATTCTCATCTGAAGGTGTTTGGTTGTAAGGCGTTTGCACATATTCCAAAGGAGAAGAGACAGAAACTTGATGAGCAGATGTGATTTTTAGGAGGATCAGACTATTGCATATCTCGAGAGAGAAAAGAAGTCAAAGAGTGTTGCTAATGAGATTCTAGATATGACACTCATTTCGTTTCTAATATAGTTGCATCCTACAGATATAGAGCAGATGCATGATGATGATGTTGATGATAACGGTTAGATACCAGAGCAGGAAGACGGTGATCAGGATCACGAGCAAGAGGCTCCTCAGCAAGGGAAGCATCAACAGCAGCAGGAGTTTGTAGAGCCACAACTTAGGAGATCAGCTAGAGAGCATCGACCATCCACGAAATATCTTCTTTCAGAGTATTTTTTGCTGACAGAAGAGGGGGAGTCATAAAGCTTTTAGGAGGCACATACTCATAAAGACAAGGACAAAGGGTTTCAGGCTATGAAGGAAGACATGAAGCCTCTTGAGAAGAATGATACTTATGAGTTAACAGATTTGTCGAATGACAGAAAAGCTTTGAAGAACAAGTGGGTGTTCAAGTTAAAGAAGGATGGCTACAAAGAGATTCAGAAATATAAAGCCAGATTTGTGGTGAAATGCTTTGGTCAGAAAAAGGGCATTGATTTTGATGAGATTTCTTCACCGGTTGGGAAGATGACGTCCATTAGAGTTATTTTGGAGTTAGCAGCTAGTTTGGTCCTCGAGATTGAGCAGCTTGATGTGAAGACTGCATTCCTTCATGGTGATTTTGAGGAGGAGATCTACATGGAGCAGGAGGAGGGTTTTGAAGTGAAGGGAAAAGAACACATGGTTTGCAGGTTGAAGAAGAGCCTCTATGGTTTGAAGCAGACACTCATGCAGTGGTACAAGAAATTTGATTCTTTCATGTTGAGTCACGGCTACCAGAGGGCAGTTGCACATTCTTGTGTATATTTCAGAAGAATTTCAGATTCTAGCTTTATTATCCTTTTGCTTTATGTGGGCGATATGTTGATTGTTGGTTAGGATAGTCAGATAATCGGTGGCTGAAAAAAGAGCTATTTAAATTTTTTAACATGAAGGATTTGGGCTCAGCACAACGAATTCTTTGTATGGATATTGCTCGTGACAGGAAAACCAGGAAGTTGTGGTTATCACATGAGAAATATATTGAACAGATACTTGATAGATTCAACATAAAAGATGCCAAGTCAGTTAGCACTCCTCTTTCAGATCATTTGAAGCTTCGCAAAAAGTTTTGCCCGACTACAGATGAGGAAAAGAGTGAGATGAAGAATATTCCTTACTCTTCAGCTGTAGAGAGTTTGGTGTATGTCATGGTTTACACTCGGCCAGTATAGCTCATGCAGTTGGCGTTGTGAGCAGATTTCTTTCTAATCTAGGAAAAATTCATTGGGAATGTGTAAAGTGGATCTTAAAGTATTTGAAAGGTAGTTCCTGATTGTGTTTGAGTTTTGGAGGTTTGAATGTAGTATTATATGGTTGTTCACTTTTGTAGATATGGCAGGTGATCTCGATCACATGAAGTCTACATCAGATTGGTTGTTCACTTTTGCAAGGGAGCAGTATCTTGATAGTCTAGGTTACAGAAGTGTGTTGCTTTATCTACAACAGAGGCGGAATATATTGTAGCTGCAGAAGCCAATAAGGAGATGATTTGGTTGAGAAGATTTCTGCAAGAGTTAGACTTGTAACATGACAATTATCAAATCTTCATTGATAGTCAAAGTGCTTTTTGATTTGAGTAAGAATTCTACATTCCACTTCAGGACGAAACACATCGATATGAGATATCATTACCTTAGAGAAGCCATTGAGAAAGAGGAGCTAAAGCTGATTCACACAGATAAAAATCTAGCAGATTTTTTAACAAAAATTGTTTCCAGAGAGAAGACCGAGTTGTGTCGGCGATTGGCCGACATGAACTCCCGTTGAGGAGTTACAAATTAGCATACCCCCTCGTTGCGCTGGAGGGGGAGATTGTTGTGAATCCAACCCAAGATAAGGCCCACACGATGTCCACATGAATAAAAATTTTATTTAGAAGAGGATTTGGAGGATCTAGTTGTAACAGGAATAGGGTTGGAGGACCTGAAAATAAAATTCCTTATAAAGGAATTCTATTCATGAGAAACATGTAATTTTATTGGTACTATAGTTACCCGTGAAAAGTAACCCAAGAGAGAAAAAGTGGGGAGAGGGGGAGAGAGAGAGAGAGAGAGAGAGAGAGAGAGAGAGAGAGAGAGAGAGA